TGAGCACTGCACGTGGCCAGAAAGCACAGGCCCAGGCCTCAGAAACCAGGGAGGCTCCAGGATGGAAGAGCTGCCAGAGGGCACAGCTTTCTCCTTCCTCCTGCAGAGGGCAACTATGGCTACCATTCAGGCTGGGCATGAGGAAGGTGGGGCCTACCTGGGAGAAGGGAAGACTACTGACCTCAGGATCCCCTCCTGTCCCTTTCAATCTAGAGCCCCAGCCCCCTACTGCTCGTTACTTGGGCCCCAAAAAGGAGCGCCTTGCACTGTACCTCCTGCACGCCCAGGGGCTGGTGCCTGAGCACCTAGAGACCCGCATGCTGTACAGCAGCAGCCAGCCAGGCATTGACCAGGTATGAGGCCGGAGGGTCTGGAGTGGGAGACAGGGGCACACCCATTTGGACAGCCCAGGAGGGAGAGAAGCTGGGCTTTCAAAGATGCGCAGGGGCAGAAGACATGCACGCCTGCATGTTAGTAAGCAAGAAGTTGCAGTGATGCCACTTAGGACGGACAGGGTCAGAGCTGGAAGAGTCATGTACAGGACACTGAGGCTGTGCGTCCACTGGAGGACGTGCTGAGGCGCCCTGGCAGCCAAGGCCAACACTGCCTCGGTCTCTCCTGAGGGAGGGCAGGGCAGCAGCACCAGGTTTGATGCACAGACATCACACATCTCGTTTGGCTATTAGTTGCAGGAACCCAGGGCAGAAGGAATAAAAATCTCAAGGGCCTTATTACCATCCACCCTCTAGCCACCAGAATGGCTCCCTTCACTCTACATTTCTCAAGCTGATACCACATTCTAGACAAAGTTCTCTACTCAGCATTTTTAAAAAAGCATTCTCACTAAACCTGTTTTCAAAACAATAGAAAAAATTAGGTCAACTTCAAAAAAATAAAAATGAGGTCAGACAGTTTGAAAGACTATGTTTATCTTTCTTCCAGTGCTGGCAGTTCCACCTCTTCCTTTTCCCTCTTAGACCTCAGTGCTTCATGATAGCTTCATACCCTCGGGCTGTGGTTGCACATTCTAAAACCATCTGGAAATCTGGCCTGGCAATCTAGATTACTCTGACTCAGGGCCACTAAGCTGGCTAATAAATAAAAGCCCAACACCATTCTGGAGCTTTCTAGAAGCTTCTAGCATCACCTGCTAAATGGCATTAACCCTCCAGACTCAGTACAAGAGACGTCCCAGCCCCATGACCATCAGCCTTAAAGTCATCATACCTACCACCCTGACTGCATCTTCTCCAGGCCAAAAAAAAAAAAGGAAAAGGGGGAAGCTGGTGGGCAGTTGCCTGACTTCCTGTCTGAAGTCTTTCCATCTCAGATACTGTACCCCACCTCTCAGTGCTGGGAACATGGCCTCCACAGACCTAAGAACCTGGAACAGGGCTCCCAGAAAGACAGGCTAGGAACCCCTGCCAGCTAACCCATCTCTGCTCCAGGGAAAGATACAAATGTGGGTGGACATCTTCCCCAAGAAACTGGGGCCTCCTGGCCCCCCAGTTAACATCAGGCCCAGGCAGCCTACAAGGTGAGTGTGGGCACACTTCCTGGGGGCAGGCACCAGGGTTCCCAGTACCGGGCAGCCGGCATCTCCCCTCTGCTGGGAATGCTGGGGACTCCCTTCCCGCCAGTGCAGTGTGAGTGGGCATGGAGGGTGGCCACCCAGGCCAGCCTCCCGCACCGAGGCGGCTGCTGGGCAGTGAGTCCTTGGCAAAGCCTCAGGGTGCCCTGGCCGCAGGTATGAGCTGCGCTGCATTATCTGGAAAACTGCTCACGTGGACCTGAAGAGTGTCAATTTGAGTAACGAGAAGATGAGTGACATCTACGTCAAAGGGTGAGGCAGAGGTGCAGGGCTCCGGCACAGCTCCCCGAGTCCTGTTCTAGCTTTCCTGTGGGTCCTCCTCATCCTAGGGTGACACCTCCCCACTTCCACTGCACCTGGCGTCCACTGGGCGGCCCTTCCCAAAAGGCTCCAGCTCGGGACTGGGGACAGTGCACATGGGCCCAGGTGAGAGGACTCTGACCCCAGGTGGCTATTCGGGCTAGAGAAGGACATGCAGAAGACAGACATCCACTACCAATCCCTGACTGGCGAGGGCATCTTCAACTGGCGGTTCATCTTCACCTTGGACTACCTGGTGGCTGAGCAAATGTGCGTCCTGAGTGTGAAGGTAATGAACGAGGAGGTGGGCTTCTCTTCCTGCCCCTCCCTTCAGAGACTTGCAGTTGCACCAGAACACTTGGAATGAGGCCTCGGCAGAAGCCCTCTTCCTGGACAGTCCATCGAGCTAGGTGTGGGCTCCTCAGAGGGCCAAGGGGGCTCTCCTAGGAGTGGCGGTGACACACTCCTTTGCCACCCTTCAGGACTACATATGGAGCCTAGACCCCATGGTGATGAAGTTTCCAGCCCGGCTCATCATCCAGATCTGGGACAATGACATCTTCACCACTGATGACTTCCTCGGTGAGCTACTGGCCTAGGGCCTATGACCTCAGGACAGGGAGCTCCTCTGTGCTGACTGCATCTCTCTTGGCTCAGGGGTCCTAGAGCTGGATCTGTCTGACATGCCCTTCCCGGCCCAGCACCCAAGCCTGTGCTCCATCAGGATGATGGATGCTGACCCCACGTGGCCCCACCTCCTCCAGCACAAGCGCTTCTCCCTCTTTAAGAAGAGGACTGCAACCGGCTGGTGGCCTTGCCAGGTCCTTGAGGACGGCAAGTGGCGCTTGTCGGTAGGAACTGGGGACGGTGTCTACTGCACAGGAGTGCTGTGTCCCATCACTGGCTCTAAATGCCTGGGGGCCGTACCTAAATCCCTCTCCCTTTGTGGGTCCTGGGAAGAGGTTCCTGCGACCATAACTCAGCCTCCCACCCCTTGCGGTGTTTCTAGGGTAAAGTGAAGATGACACTGGAGATTCTGTCCGAGGAGGAAGCCTTAATCAGGGCAGCAGGACGTGGCCAGTCAGAGCCCAACCAATACCCTACACTCCACCCTCCCCCGTAAGGCTCCCTATTCAGAAAGCCGAGCTGCTGAGCCTGGCCGTATACCCAGGGTGGTGACCAGTAGCCACAGGTGGAGGGGTAGTTACTTCCCACCACCTCAGCTCAATGCTGTCACAGTCGGGAGAGAACAGCCAAGGGGAGAGGGGGAGATGGGGCAGAAGTTGCTTTTTAAAAAAGAAAGGTCTTTGCCTTGGAAAACTTGATCTAAAGGTCCCCTTTGTCCTCCATTCTCGGACTCAACGCTCATGGACAGGCGCACCAACACCTTGCTCTCATGGTTTCAGTCACCTATTAGAAACTTCTGCTATGTTTTCTGGAAACGCTATCGCTATAAAATCATAATCATGTCAATCATATTGATTATCGGGCTTATGCTGTTCAGCTTCATGTACTCAGCTCCGGTGAGTGATGCCCCTGGGGACAGGGACAGAAGCACTGGTTGCTCTTGGGCTGCCTCTGGAGAGAGCCTCTGGTTGCTACCTTCAGCTGACTGTTGCCTATTCCCTCTAGGGCTATTTGGCCATGAGCTGGGTCAAACCTGAGCTTCGGCTGACTGCACCTAAGGATATGTTCACCAATATCATCAATTCACTGAACACCAGAAAGGCCAGCTCTTCCAACCTCACTACCCCACGTCCTACCCTAGAGTCTACAACAGGCCGTCAGCTGCAACTCCTGCAGGAACACATGAATCACCTAAGACATATTTTTCCAGAACTCCCAGCCCCACAAGGCTAATTTGGCCAGGTTTGCCTGGCTTTTCTTTGCCCACTGTCAGCCCTAACCTAGAGCTTCTTGCCAATTCCTTATTTCTATCTTCTAGGACAGCAAGGGGCTAGGGATATTCTGGCCATTCTGCTGAGAAACCACTTCCATCAAGAAAGACAAAGTTGTAATTTTCCACTGAAATAAACAAGCTTTGTAACAAATTGGGGGGGGGGGGGGGGGGGACTGGGCGGGTGTTGAAGACCACATGAAAGGCCAGCCTTTCGGACAAGACTCCCAGGGACAGGAAGCAGTGTCGCCTTTGGCACTACCTCCACCTTCTGTCTCTTCCACACGAAGAGGCTCTGAAGTCAGAGGGAAACAGAGGGAAAGGGTGGCAGTGAGGAGAGAATGGCCCCATGGGGTGAGCCACTGGAGCCACACCACAAACCCTCCTCCAGGACACACCTGCGGTGCAGTGGCAAGAACAATATCCAGCCCCATTTACGGGGGCAAACATTTGTTTCCAGGACAAAATACAAGAGCTAGGACAGAACACCCCATGTCTAGTCAGAAGGCGGCCCTGCACCTGAGCTGAAATCACACAAAACCCACAAATCTGCATTCACACTCACGTGCTTCCCTTCAGGAGCCCACCTAGGTCCTCCACCACAGGGGCCTATCCAATCTCCCCTTGACCTCAAAGAAGACAAAAGAACCATTTGCTTTTTCAGTTCTACCTGGTCCCAAGTCCAAGTGCTCGATCAGTTGGTCCCCTGGCACTTCGGAGCTGCTCTACTGTGGTGGGAAGGCGTTAGGCAGAGCCCGCCTAATCCCACCTGCAGGGGAGTTACTGCCTGTGATGCCTAACTAAGCACCTGGAAGGCTATAAGCAAGCCCGAGAGCAGGGGTCCTCAAACTACAGCCCGCGGGCCACATGCAAATACAAATATTGTATTTGTTCCCGTTTTGTTTTTTTACTTCAAAATAAGATATGTGCAGTGTGCATAGGAATTTGTTCATAGTTTTTTTTTAAACTATAGTCCGGCCCTCTAACAGTCTGAGGGACAGTGAACTGGCCCCCTGTTTAAAAAGTTTGAGGACCCCTGCCCAAGAGGATAGAGACCAGACCCAGCCAAGGCAACCCTCCTTTCCTTCTGGGTTGAGCTGAGGATTTCACAATGGAGGGAAGGCAGAGCAAGGACTGATGGGCTCAGCAAAAAGGCCAGGAGCCTTCCTAAACCCATGCCCAGAAGGAAGAACATGGAGTCAGAAGCTCCAGTTGGGCTTCCATCAGCCATTTTACGAATCTCCCTTAGGCTACAGAAGCACAGGCTAGGAGAGCTCAGCTCTGGGCCCTCTATCAACCAATCTCATCATAGGCAGATGGGTGAGTGAAGCGGTGTGTGACCCCTTGTCCAATAGGCAGTGAATAAGTGCTAATCCCTGGAGGATGACACTCAGGCTCTATTGCTCAATGACAATGAACTCTTCCAGGCACAGATGACAAGGGCCTATTGACCCAGATTTGCAACACGAGAACGGCAACTTACTTATCCATTAAGAAAAAGAAGCCCGATTTCCTCCTGGGAGTATCCAGGCCGAGATTATAAGAAAAAAGTTTTCTTACATTTTCAACACTCAAAGTAGGGTCCCAAAGACCATGACAGACACAAAACATGCAGCTAAGCAGGCTCCAGTTGGTCCAGAAACATCTCCATGTGGTCGGGTCACTCAGCAAATGTTGCTTCTGGTGTCAAAACCTGGAGCAGGTCAGTGTCACAGTTCAGCCCACTCATCCACAGGATCTTCCAAGCTTCTCTTGACTTGCACACCAACTTCCAGCCAAACAGGACTGAGGGCTGAATGGAAGGGCCTCATTGGGAAGATCACAAACACGCCAACAGATCCAGGATCCACGCGGACAAGCAAAGGCTAGAGCAGTGGGCCAAAGCAGAGAGCCTTCCCTGCGGACACCTAATGAGGGTCAGTGCAACATGTTTGTTCTGCAGCCCTGGCTCCGACAGACAGGCATGGAAGGTCTTCTCGATCTCAGGCTGCATGTGAAGAGGACAGTAAAAGGAGGGAGAAGTTTCCACCCAGATTTCCAAGGAGAGCTGCTCAGGTGGACAGAGGCTTAGACAAAAGCAAAAACCAATGAATGGATGGCGGGAAGGTATGAGGAGTTTTCCATTCTTTGCAGATTTAAGTGAGAAGCACAGGGGTCCTGAGTCCAACACCAAGGCATCCTGGGTTATGAAGTTCTTTTCTGTGATCTTGGCATCATACCAGGAGATCCTATCTCCACCCTCTGAGCTCCCAGAGGACGGACTGCAGGGAAAGGCACATCACAGCAGCATTGCCCTGGGGTGGGTGGGCTTCCTGAACCAGAGTCAGAGGTCCTCACAGATGACCATGGGAATACAGTGTCCCTGAACTCAAAGCTCCAGTGACAGAACACAGTCCCTGACCGGCTGCTGAAGAATGGAGAAGACCACTGGGCTGTGTGGTCAGGCCAGCGCCTGTTCCTCCCACACCTCACGGGGACAGCCACAGCGGAGGTGGCGGCAGGAGGGCTCAGTAGAAACGTTTTCGGCTCTGTTCCTGCCACTTGTTGTACAGTATGATCCCAATGACAATGGCAAACACGAAAAACACCAGCGAGAAGAAGACAATGAGGAAGAGAGCCAGCCCACTTAGGGGCGGCAGCGGGGCTGTCACTGAGGAAGCAAGAGAGAAGCAAATCAGCGCCTGGGAGCCTACCCATTAGGAAAGACCACCAACAAGCTAAAGCCCCCAGGTTCCAGTGCCCATTCTGGGAGACAGAACTCAGACTCTCCCTTTCCAGATGCTTTAATCCAAAAACAAAGCCGCCGCCTCCTGCTCATCTGTAACCTGAAGACAAGTGCCAAGAGGTGCCAGTGCTCCATATCCCTCCGGGAAAGGACAAAGGAGACAGCCCTGCGAGCTGTGGGTGAGGTCCCCTGGCCCGACCCAGCACTGCGACCTCCCACTGTGGGCTGTTTCCCAGGGTCCCCATGCTCACGCTCAGGCAGCTTCATGTTGTCCACCGAGGGCAAGAACACGTCTCGATGCAGCTTCTCCTCTTCTGGGGTTCGCTCCACCGTCAGCTCAAATAACTTCAGGGAAACGATGTCATGGTTGTCTAAAGGAAAAAGTACTGCTCAAGCCCCCTCAAAAAGAGGTATCTTGGAGTATCTTGGCTCAAGCTTCCGATTCCACAGCTAACTAGCAGCGACTTTAAAAAAATAATTGCAACCTGTTTTCTCATCTAAAAACAAGGATAAGAAACAGGAATATTCTACATTATTCTACAATATTATAGATAGATAGATAGATAGATAGATAGAAAGATCTCAGAGAAAGATATAAACATCAATGATGAGAATCATTGATTGGCTCCTCCTGTACACCCCACACTGGGAATCAAGCCCACAACCAGACATGTGCCCTGACCAGGAATGGAACCCTAACCTCCTGGTTCATAGGTCAATGCTCAACCATTGAGTCATGCTAGGCGAGCTCTCTCTCTTTAAAGCATCATTATAAACTCATCAATTCAAACACATTTGACGTGTTTCAATACACTGAGGTTGTACATCTTACTGATGCTCAACTCCACCCATTTTGTTCCAGTGAGAGCCTATGCATGTTGGTTTCTGAATCTTTTTTCATGAACCCAGTAGTATTTTAAGATTTTCTTTATTTTATTAACTTTTTTTTTCTTTTAGAGAGAGAGGAAAGGGGAGGCAGAGAGAAACGGATGTGAAAGGATACCCCCTACGGGGGATAGAGCCTACAACCCAGGCATGTGTCTTGACTGGGAATCAAACTAGCAGCCTTATAGTGCACAGGATGACATTCAACCAATTGAGCCACACTGGCCACCGCCCAGTAATTCTTGGTATCTTCCTTGCTTTTCTGGAAAGTTCCCCCTTATACACTTCTTGCCATAGATCTGCCATTTCTCCAAGAAGCTCCTGTTCCTCTCAGTGGAGACTGGTATTAAGAGACCACAAGTCTGAATGCCAGGGAGGTTATGGCTACTTGGTTGGATTTTTTGCCATTTCTATTACTAGGATGGCATCTACACCTGCTTAGACTTAGAATGTTAGCAGACCCTTAGCAAACCCTGAAAAACTGGATTTGCCTTCAACGAGGTGTTTTTGCTGTCAGGACTGAGTGGGAGCCACGGACAGAATAAAAAGGAGCGCACTGCTCTTCACAATGTGGGGCACCAATGACTGAAAGGGCTGGAGTGTACCCCACTTTCTCAGCCATTTCAATACCCACTGCCTAACAGTAAGAAGGTATCAACAAGAAAGAACTTGAGAGAAAGACAATTTCTATTTAGGGACATTCTATGGGTAGAGAACACAGACTCACTAACCTAGGCATTGCCACCAAAAACCTAGAGCAAAGGACTCCTTAGGACAAACAAAAAATGACTGTATTCTCTTTGGTCATTTCTAACAGTTGGGAACAATTTCCCATTGAAGAGTGCACCAGGAAGTTAACTGACAGGTCCTAGAAACACGTAAGCTTAAAGGAAAATGCAAAGAAACATTTCAACTTGAAACACATAATAAGATTACCTAGCAAAGATCTAAAGCTTGTGCCTCCTGTGCCTGGGCCCAGGGAGCTCTGCCCACGCCTCAGCCTTCTGCACAGTACTCAGGCCCTGGTTGCCAGGGCAGAGCAGGTGAGGGCGGAGCTGCAAAGGGGCACCGGGACTTCTCAAAGTGATGGAAACGCTCTGTGTCTTGACTATGGAGGTTATGACACAGGTGTAAATATTTGTCAAAACTCTCCCAACTATGTACTTCTGTTGTATGGAAAGCACATCTCCATAAAGTTGATTTTTTTTTAAAGCCATGATTTTAAAAATCAGATTTCATTTTAAAAATCCAGATTCCCAGCTTCTCTTGAAAAACTGACAGCATGGCCTTGCCAAGCCCGCATTTGCTCTGGGCCACAACGCTGGAACCAAGCAGCTGTTGCCCATTTCAGATGGGTGTTTGCCTTCCCCTTTTGCCAGAAGAAAATTCTATTCCTATTGGCTTTATTCATAATAAATTATGTCCAAAAATTCCAAAAGTTTGGTTCTTTACCTCTTCTCAAATGGTGTTCTGATTGGGACTGGAGCCAAGGGGAGTACAAATGGGGACAAGGAGAAAGAAAGTCGGAGGAGACAGGAAAGAAAAGCAGCAGGTACTGTCAGTGGCACAGACCTTCAGGGCACATGGTCAAAAGAGCTGACGAGAGGACGTAGAGCCAGGACTGAGAACAGTGTGTCACGCAGGCAGGGACACAGTCACTCTCACTAGGAGAGTGCTAATGCACAGTCGAGACATGGGTCCAGGGCAGTGTGTTCAGAATGGAATGGCTGGAAACGGGAGCATCTCTACACATGAAACCCAGAAGTCTGAGCACAAAGCAGGGCCTGGGAGCCAGTCAAGGGGGACAGCAGAGTCACGAAGAAGCCTTGTTCAGAGGAGGAGAACTAAGCACCTTAGGAGTGGGAGGGAGGAAGCGGACTAGAAAGGTGTCAGCAGAGTCAGAAAAGCGCAGAGCTCAAAACACAGGCTGGAGAGCTGGCTCCTTGAAGAGGCAAACACTCCTTTCCTGTAGCACCAACTACCTCCCAGGACAGCTGTCTGAGGCCAGCCTAAGCCTGGGGTCTTAAGGAATCTGGGTATGAGAATGCAGGAAGATAAGCACTCCCAGGGCACCTGCTTCCCAAAGTCCCGCTTGTCTGGCTCTCCCCTCTGAGAAGCTTCACCAAGGCCTGGCCACTGAGACATGGCCTCAGTCAGGGCAAATGAGAAGTGCAGTGGTAGTACCTGAGAGATCCCCGGTGATGGAGGAGGTGCCAAAGTAGTAGCCCCGGGGCAGGCGGACCCCGGGCACCTCAATGCAGTCCCGCCACTCATGCTTGCCGTCGATGTCCATCATTACCTAGAATAAAAAGAAAAGAGAAATCAGGGCCAGGTCCCAGGAGCAGGAGCCAGACAGCCCATACTGCCAACTGGTCCAGAACAGGGACTTACCGTCAAATGCCTCTTGACATAGCGAATCACAAGGAAGGTGTCATAATGGAGATTGCGGACAATGGCCGTACAGCCCCCCAGCTCTGTTGGCCGCCCATCCCGCTCATGATCATAGCTGAGGGAGCCATTGTTCACCATGGCTGAGATGTAGGGGAACACCCGCTAGGAAGGCAGGGAAGGAAAAGCAGAGGACAATGAGGAAGGGCAAAGAGCAAAGAGCAACAAGAACTATGCACATACAAGCTGAGCACCTTACAGAGACCAGGCAATAGCCCAGCCTCATCACTAACAACCCGCTAGAACCCACACTCAAGTGACATGGCCCAGGAAGCGACTAACTCTGTCCTTGTCTTCAGGGATCCTCCTCGCTACATGTCTGGGTGGGTCTGACATGCTCCCTCTAAGGCTCTAATCTCCTCCCTGAGAACACCATTTGCACTGTTCCTCTGCTCCACACTAGTGGCTTTTTTGTGTTTATGTACCTGTCTACCCAACTGCCATGTAAACTCCTTTAAGAAAAAATAACTTGTTACGCTTTTTTGCATGTCTCCACATTAGCTCATTCCCCCTCTCCCCCCGCCCCGAGTGTTTTGAACACAACAGGTATTCTGAAAATACCTTTGATATTCAGGATAATTCCTTTCAAATTCTAAAATCCTATAAGCACATGATGCAAAATGGACCAGGACTCAAAAAGAACCAGGTTGCTGGATGGTGTTTTCTAGCCAACATGACTGTTTTAGCCAAAAAACCTTCCAGCCCAGTTAAGCTTCAGCCACAACTTCTCCCAATAACACACAGAGCAAGGTTCTCCCACTGCAAGTTTCCCCAGATCCCACCCACTTTCCTACCCTACTTCAGAGGCCCTCTCTCTTCAATAAAATTGTAGGGGCACATCTTCCTTAGAAATGATGAGCTACCATTTAAGAGCAAGCTCAGTGCTAGGCAGTGCAGATGGAAGAAGAGGTCACATGACACATGCCACTTGGTGAGTTCCACGCTGTCCCCAATATCAACATGCAAATGAAGATGCACTCACAATCAGAGACTGGTGACTCTTGAGACAAGAACCACATGGATTCTAAACAGTAGCAAATGTTGGATGAGCACACAGGGAATAAAGGATGGCCATGATGGGTCAAGAATTGAATACCTGGACTCCTGGAGAGTATCGCCTCTTCTGGGCCTGAGAGGGTCCACAGGTTTGAAAACAAGAGAGGGCACAGAAGACAGGAGACCAAGTCAGAAAGAAACAGCCATGGAAGAGCTAAGACCCAGCGGTGGTGGGTGAGCAAACCAGTCTCAATCCCCAAACAGAAATTTAGGGTCCGTGGAGGGCACTCAAGTCCTTGTGCCTCTCAAAATTATAAGCAAAACTATATGCACAGGTGCTTGCACATTATGAGGAGAGGAGGTGTTACTATCACCAGATCTGCAAAGAAGTCCTCTGGGAAGACCTCTCTAAGGTCCTGAAGCTTACAGAAGCTTTATAAAACAGACAGCATTACACCATCCAAGCAGGCCCCCCTTATGTCTCTGAGAGTCAGGAAGTCAGGCCACAAGTTTGTACCCAGACTGCAGTATTTCTATAACAAGGGGAGAGAAGGGAGAGACAGGGCTAAGTTCTTCCAAATTCAAGATGCTGTTTACTGCCCAGGATCTCAGAATATAGCTAGTGCCCAGAAGACAAAAAGCCCATGAAGCTGTGAAATGAACATGAATCCAAAGGGATCATTTACCCTCTAGTTGAGCCTGTGGACATATATTTCCAAATATATAACCTATAACATGTGGGCAAGGCAAAGCTCCATGGGAGTGTTGAAACATGGCAGATGGTTCAAGGATAGTTTTGCTCCAGAAAACTGCTACAGTACTAGCAACAAGAGATACCTACACTGGCTCATTCAGCCCTACCCTAGAGAAGGGTGTGTAAGGGTGTAGAGCACAAAGTGTTCCTTCCTCTGATGCTTCCTGAGACCTGTTACCAGCCAGACACTGTTCCAGATGCTTTAAGTTCAATGGGAAACAACATAGACAGGCTTAATGGAGCTGGAACCGGAGGCTGAAGAATCACAATGACTCGGGCAAAGGCGGCAGTTCCATTCCTAACTGAAGAGTCACCAAAAATGAGGAACTCCTGCCTATTGTGCAAATCGCTGTCTGGAGGGTGGAGACGTGCTTTCATATTTTTGTACTGCAAGGCCACTTTTTTTTAAAAGGCACCTACATATAATTGCACCTTCAACATATCTTGATTGAAAGGAGACCCGTGAACTTGTGGATCTACGAACCCTATGCTAAAATTCCCCAGACCCGAAGCACACAGCTGTGAACCACTGAACAGAAAAGAGCAAACATGGCCTCTGTCAGCAGGGAGAGCTGTTCTAACTGCGGCCACGCCACTCCCAGCTTCATAACTTGGGGTGAACTCCACCAGCTGAGATTCCCTCTTCTTGCCGGAAGCAGGGAGAACACACGGCACACAGGGCTAATTCCGAAGATGAAATGAGACGTGTAAAGTATCTGGTACAGTGTCTGGCATTCGGGAGGGAGTCAATAAATAAAAAATGTTCATTCAATCCATGACTAAATGAATGAATTTCAGATAGAAATATTGTTTACAGATGCTCATAAATAACCACAATGCCAAACACATAGTTTAGAGCAGTAATTCCCAGATCACTGGCTTGTCATGGACCAGTAAAATCTCCAAAAATATTTTGGAGGTTAACAGATTTACCTTGTTGGTTTTCTGATCTACTAAATACATTAAAATACAATAATGACAAGACAACCATCTTTATAAACATCACTTTTTTATAAATATTTTTAAAAGAACATTTTAATACCAAAGATAGAAATATGTAATGTCATAATAAAACATTTGGCATCTATCAAAAGTCTCCTCACTGTTCTTACTCAGACCAGTGAAACTGTCACCAACCAACAGGAGCTCATGAACTTGGGAGCACTTGGGAGTAACTCTTTAGGGCAGTTTTTCCAACTAAACCATCCTGCAGCTGAGTAAGCCGGGCGAGTTTGCCCTCTGAACCTAGACAGATATGAGGAAAAACGGTAGGAGAGAACAGGGCCACGACGGCTACTGCGAACACACCTGCAGGATGGCCCTTGTGAGTGTCACTTAGTGGTGAGAACAGCTAGCACTTTCTGAGAGCTTACTCTGTGCCAGGCACTGTACCAGTAATGAGCACATATGCATTGCTTTAATTATCACCACTGATACGGTTATAGTATTGGTATTCCCATTTCACAGGTAAGAAAACTTGTTTAAGAGGACAAAACTTGTTTAATAGGTTTTGCCTTGGCCGGTGTGGCTCAGTTGGTTGTAGCATCATCCCATACTCCAAAAGGTTGCGAATCTGATTCCTAGTCAGGGCACATACCTAGATTGTGGGTTCGATCCTGGTCGGGTTGCATACAAGAAGCAAACAACCAATGTTCTCTCTCATCTCTCTCTCTCTCTCTCTCAAATCAAGAAGCATATCCTCAGGTGAGGATTAAAAGAAAAGAGAGAGCGAGAACACAGGAATTGAGTAGTGGAAGCAGGATCTGAAACAGGCAACCAGAGCCGAGAGTCCCGGCTCAGTCACTCAGAGAGAGCTACACTGCTCTCAATATCTACCAATATGGAAAAATGCTTAGTATATACTGTGAGATACAAAAACAAGAAACTAGGTCTCTACCCTGAAACACAAAGGAATACTGGGGAATAGTTCCAGATCGAAGGAAGGACATGACAACTGAATACAACATGGCATCTGGGCTTTTCTTTTGCCATAAAGGACAGATCTGACAACTGATGAAATCTGAATAAGGTTAGTAAATTGGGCTAATAGTATTGATATCAATATTAAGTGCCTGGTTTTGATCGCTGTGCTGTGGTTATGTAAGAGAATTCCTTGTGTTTAGGAAAAACAAGTGAAGTATTTAGAATAAAGGGAGCATCTTAAAGAAAGGCAACTTGCTCCTTAGTTCAGGAAAATATACACAGACAGACAGAGGCACAGATACACACACAGAGGTGAAGAAAAGGCAAAGCGCTCTGCCAGCACGAGTCAGTGGTTAGAGCATCAGCCTGTGTATGGAAGGGTCTTGGGTTTGATTCCCGGTCAAGGGCATGTAGTTGGGTTGCAGGTTTGCTCTCCCAGCCCCAGTCAGGGCGCATGCAAGAGGCAACCAATCGATATTTCTCTCTCTCGCCCTTCCTTCCATCCTCTCTCAATGGAAAAAAATATCCTCCCATGAGGATTAACAACAACAACAAAAAAGGCAAAGCAAATGTAATAAGACATTAACATTTTTGGGAATCTGTAAAGAGCACCCTGAATTCTTTATATTATAATTTATCTGTAAGTCTGAAACTATGTCAAAATTTTTAAAAGGTTAGTCTGAATCTAGTATTTGCCATCTTCTCATTTTTCTATATATCTAAAAAACTTAAAATTAAAAAAACAACGGTATGTTCATGTGATGCAACGTTTTGTTTTTTAAAAGTTGTTTGTACATTTTGTTTTAGCCTTTTCTGATTTTTCTATGAGCTTTAATATAAAAAGAAGAACAAACAAATGCCCCTTCTGCAGCATCTCCCTTCACACCTCCGTCTGTCCCTCCCTTTGGACACTGGTGGAACACACAGAAGCCATTTTTCAGGCTTAAAAACGTTTTAAGTCACTGGTCCTACAGTAATCTTCATCTAACTAGCCCTTTATGCAGGAATCTGGTACAAAGGTGACAGGATAACTTAGCAACATCCATCTTACATAGAGTGACATCATTGAGTTCTCACATCATTGGGCAGCATGAGAAGGCCCCGGCTCCCTAAGCTCCCAAACTACTACCAACTATACCAGGGACTGTCCCCAAGTCTTAAAGCTCAACTGAGGACACTCCAGCCAGTTAACTGCCTGGAAGACTGTCACATTTGCGAACATTACCATGATCTTTTAAACTCATGGGATGATTTAATCCCATTTATGTTAGTTGTGACCCCACTAGAACCAAAATAATGTAACTTGAGGACTTCAATAGTGCTCTAAAACCAGAAAGCATTAAACTTGATGTATGCCCAAACACCAAACACTGACGTTCATGACTCGTCTACCCCGATTACAATTGCCAAGATTCAGAACACTGCCTAATGCGCATGTCTCCAGTTCACTGCTGCCCATCATTCTGATAGTATGTGGATATGTCTCGTTAATGAGAAGATCTTGTCTACAGTTCTACTTTGAGGAGTTCATGAACTTCCTAAAATTGAATGCAAAATCCTGTGTAACTGCATCTTTCATCATATTCTCAAAAGGGTCAAAACCCAAATAAAGTAAAGAACTAACCCAAAGCTAAGCGCAGCCTCTTGCCTTTTTTCTCCTTCTTCTCTCCCTTTCACAAAAACAAAACATCTTCTCCTCACCTTCACTCAATTCCAGCAGAAAGCCATACATTTCTACTTCCCTCAAAAATTAGCTCTTGGCAATGAAACAGCCTCACTGCCTACTCTTATCAGAACCTGCCAATACTCCACACACCTACTCTCCAAAGGAGAACCTTGAAAAACACTACCTTACCTGGGACCAAAACGAAACCCCTAACTCACATCCATGTTAGATGATAACAAGAGAATTTAAGACGGATGAAGTTCCCTTAATAACGTAAAGATTCTTTCTGCCGACAACAAAGAGACCAAGAGGGACTGGTGTCTTCATCAAGGGAATGTGTTGTTGGTTTAAAATAGAGGAGTATTTTTTTTAAATATATTTTCATGGATTTCAGAGGAAGGGAGAGGGAGAGATAGAAATATCAATGATGAGAGAGAATCACTGACTGGCTGCCTCCTGTATGCCCCCAACTGGGGATCAAGCCCGCAACCCGAGCATGTGCCCTTGACTGGAATCAAACCTGGGACCCTTCAGTCCGCACTCTGACGCTCTATCCATTGAGCCAAACCAGTTAGGGCAAAGGAATGTGTTTTTAACCTGGATGGCACAGAATTGTTAATTTTCTTCCAGTTTCAAAGGAGGAAAAACAATGATCACATTATAAAACATGGGGAGTGCCTCAAACTCGCTTCCAAGCTGGCTGGACTTGGGACCATGAGCTTTCTCCCCCCTCTCCCACTCGCCGTCTCACCTCACAGAGGGAGGCCCAAGTCTCCTGGGAAGAATGAGG